GTCTGTTTTCACTGGAGGTATCCCACGCCGCTATGACGATTTATGTTAGTCACAACACGAGGAAAGATTCAACAAAACCCGTTGCTCAATGGAGCTTCACTGCAATCATTTGAGCACGACTTCCAGGACAGCTTCTCTTCGGATCGTGCAAACCGTCTGAGTATTTATTTGGTCAAACTGTCTCCTCCGGTTTGACCGGATGTGCGTCATATGGCGCGATCCCGTTGGCACTGGAGCGCAGAGGCCGTAACTGTACTCGGAAAACTCGTCCGCACCATGTTCCGTTCCGTTTCTATTGCCTTGGCATCAGGCCAACACAGGCTATATTTTTTGGATCTTCGAGATCCATCGAGATTCGTTATCAGATCGTTACACAGCTTATCAGATCGTTCGATTGCTGAAGTCTAGTAGTTGAGTGATGCGGACGAGTAGTCTAGCCTCAGTAGGGTGTGGCAATTGCGGTCTGTGCCAATGTTCGCGCCATATCACCTCCTTCCGGTCTTATCAATTCATCCGTTCCTAACAAAAATTTATGCTCTATAGGTAACTCTTATTATTTGTCTGAGACGGTAACCACTTAAAGTGTTGTGTAAATAACCTCTCCGATTTAGTTCGTGGCTAAAAGATAGCGCCGTGGTCGAATTATCGTCACTCAGAGCAAGGCTACAAATAGCCAAAAATGATGTTTTCGCTTTGCTCGCCATCTCAAAATTGTTGTCAGAAACGAAGGTACTGCATAGGTGCTTCCAAAGTTCATTTGATAAGTTCTCAGTGCAGCTCTTCTACGAATGTGTGTTTTGACAAGATTCTTCAGTGTGGCATTCCAAAGGGCATGTAAATGAATCCGAAACGTCGATCCCAACGGGATTACTCACAACGCCAAGCACTTTGTTCTTGTTTATCCAAGGCTCACGTAAATCCGAGCGTTAGAGGCATACCAACGATCAAGCAAGTGTGATTCCTTCACACAAGCATGGAAGCACGGGAAGTAAACCGATGATGGGAATGATGGGAAAGAATCTGTCGAGACTGTTAGGCTGATGTCAGACTTGCGAATCGAGCGATTCTCTAGCGCTCGCGATCGCGTCGCGGCCACACATAATCGCTTGGTTCGCAAAATCCGACATCGGCCTTGAAATTGATATATGAAGACTGGAATGACTCCTTTTAAGAATTCGGCAGGCGCATGTAAGGCCTGTAAGAAATTGGAAGATTGATCCAGCCTGCATAGGTCATCGCGGAGCGTTTGCCTTTAAAAACATGGGACGGAGGGAATGTTGTTATGTCGATGACTGGCGGTTCTGCATATATCTGTCGTCACCTAAGCGAAGTATTGTTGATCAGTCCTTGCCTCATTGTCAGGTTAATTCTGACCTGGTACTGGTCACTGATTTAATGGCAAAGGTTCAAGCCTAAACTCAAGAGCTCCCTCCCGTGGGTGGTGTGCTAAGTCCGCATCTGTAGAGGTTGTGACAAATTAGAACCTCGAAATGCCTCATTGAGGCGCTGAGCGCCTACTATTTCGATCCGCCGGCATTCGGTCGAACAGTACCCACCCAACCTCGCTATCCTCCTTGTTTCATATCGGATAATCAGCTGTGCTCTCTCAACTCGGAAATCTTTGCCCTCTCCACGACTCACATCATCTACTTCGCTGTATGCCTCTCAGACTTTGCAGCGTAGAGCAAGAAGATTCCCATTTTATGTGTTTCTAAAGATATTCTTTCTTTTTGTCTCCTCCTTGGTCCACTTCGCCTCCCTAGTTTTGTATTCGAGCGCGATTGCCACACCAAATTGATCCCGACCCTTCCTTTAACTCTGTGACATCTCTCAGTTTTTACCGATAGCTCTGTGGATATAAATAATTGTCTTGCGACAAAAAAAAAAATTCAAAAATCTTCTGACCAGGGAAAACAGAGAATTATGCTGATTGCTTGGTTACGAGGATGTTATGGCGAAAGATCTTTTGTTTGGTTACTATTGATAGGTTATGAATGTTGCTGCAACGGCGACCAGAGAGGAGTCAAGCGAGGAAAAGCCTATAGGCCGATGTCAGACTTTGCGAATCGCGCGATTCGCTAGCGTCTGCGGTCGCGTCGCGGCCAGTGAATCACTCAATTGGCTGGTACCGCAACGCGACCGCGGACGCTAGCGAATCGCGCGATTCGCAAAGTCTGACATCGGCCTTAAGGTTGGAGGTCGAAGAAGGAGAAACTTACCAAGTGGAAAGACAGGCGGACCCTAAGAGCGCGGACTAAGTAAGACGCAATTCACCGACGACGACATGTCCCCAGCGATCTAGCATTGCCACCCCCACGACGCTGTCGGCGTGGTACGCTTACCGACTGTCTAACCACTCGCCGTAGGTTTCTAGCCATTTAGGAAAGAGAGCCTGCCTTATCCTGAAATCTTCCAGTCATGTCGAGAGTGGCATACTTAGATGGGCTAGTCCATTAAATCGTTGATAAACAAATGTGGTAAATAACTGTATTTCTGGAAGAGGTGTTCTACACCAAAACGACGCGCACTACACAAAAACTCTTGCTTGTTTTCAAGAAAACTCAAACTTTTGATGCTACAAATTTTCCGAAATCTCACTGCGTGCTAGCACACCTACTCAGTACTCGCATATGCACATTTACATATAAGATATTTATTACTAACCATAAGAACGAGGAAAATTCTCAAAATAGCGAAAACCTCATCTCAGCCTTCGTGAAATCGAATGTGTACAGTTTGGTGCTAATTGGTGAATAGTTTGCGAATACGAAATCCTTCCTTCCTGCAGGTCAAATATGAGCCCCACCCCATCGGTAATTGCTCCGCCTCCGCTCTGAATCCTATGGGGGTTGTGCTCATTTTCAACGAGCGTGAAAAATTGTGGGAGACTTCCTTCAATAGATGGGTTTTCCACTCAAATGCGTGGGTATTGTGGCTGGAAGAGAAACGCCTGCGACAAATCTGCACCAGAATTAAGCGCAACACAGAGGCCTTCCCTTGATCTCTACCCTCATTTATACCCTGTCGCCGAGAAATCACCATCAATTCTCATTTTGGTTACTCTTGGAGATATTATTCCATTCGTTTCAATTTTGATTCTGTCTTTCGCCTTTTCTCTGATGTACGGTTTATTTACTTCCGCATCACTGGAGTCGGGCTCAGTCGCTGCCCTTTCCGCGCCTACGCTGTAGCCCTTGAGAGCCTCTCCAGCCCAGAGCTGGTGTACAGTGTCTTCTAACAAAGTATAAAAAGAGGCTCATTGTTTCCGGTGAATCCGACCAGCTTTTTGAAAACCGGTCTTTATGAGTTTTCCATGTCGCAATATTTGATTTGGCTTTTGGCATCTTCATTTCTTTAGCGCCGTTGCAAGAGGCCGGGGGGGGAGCGGTTGTGGCATTTGTGGGCATGCGCACAAACTGACTGGGAACATTCGCCTTTTGTATATAACGAGATTCAAGCCTTAAGCGGAGAAAGAGCTCCTAAGTTGTATTAAGCATGTTTCATTTTCTCCGGTCGTTCCTACCCCTTCTAGGGCTAAGTCCTGGGGCGTGCGTATTGGTGATGGCATTTGTTTTGTTACAGTATTATCTCTACTTTAATCGTCTCTATACTTTGATGTCTGTCGTTCCGACCACTCTAGTGCTGACTTTCTTAAAGACTTTTGCTAACTAACGCTTAGATTTCAGGCGATGGTCCCTAACGGGTCGTGGTCGTTGTCGGCGGAGATAAACGAGACCACCACCGAGAACTCCCACATCCTTACCACCACAATATGGGATTTCGATCGACCACCTCCGATCAAACATGTTGGTCTGTTGCTGATCGTGATCCCGATGGTCACGATTCTCGGCAATCTACTCGTCATCATATCTGTGCTGCGATATCGAGCTCTACAAACCGCGATCAACTTTCTGATTCTCGGACTCGCCGTAGCCGACCTGCTAGTCGCACTGTTCGTCATGCCATACGCGTCTATGTCCATGTGAGTTATATCTTATAAAAAAATTCATGAGCAGGTATCATAGTAAGAATGAGATGGTCGGCATAAGCTACCTTAGGTTCTCCTGTGAATGCGCAGCATTCAACGTAGTCCTGAAAAGTCCACAGGCTACACGGCACGAACAAACCATGTTTTGAGAACAATTCATCTGAACCTGGTGAGATCGTTGAGGATCGTGATCTCAGCGTAGAGCCGAAAAAATTGCAACCCCCAAGCTCTTCTTTAGGGCGGCGAAGTGGCAGTGACAAGTGGCGCGCTTACCACGCGAGCGGTCCGGGGATCAAATCCTGGGTCGTGAGTCGCCCGGGCCAACCAAGCCTTCCATCCCTCCGGGGTCGGTTAATTGGTACCAGACTTGTCTGGGAGGATAAAAACACTGACTTGTACATCGGCTGGCCCCCGCAAGTCATTGTATAGGCCACATCGCATTCAAATGCCACTACGAATGTACAAATGGAAGTAGAATGCGTGCCGCATCCCAAAAGGGATTGATCAACGGCAAATGCATTTTTGTCTTTAAGCTTTTCAGTCTTCCGTTCCACCACCAGTACATAGGGCCTTCAAAATGCAAGGTTGGGGTGAGGATATAGTGGGCAGATCAGTCCACGGCTGTGATAGAGGCTGACTGGGAAGGCTTCTCGAATCTTCAGCCGCACTCTGTCCATTTGCTAGCTCTTTGGTCACCTTTGGCGCATCCTGAACCCAAGCTCAACTGGACCGATCAGTTCCGGGGGCAATTAAAGTTCTTAGCTACCATCTCTCAAAGGAGGGG